GTGTGGTGTTCCCGGTCTGCAGAGGTCAGTACCGATTAAAAGTGCTCCAAGGAAGGAAATGCGTTGAACTGGAGACAGGGTCATGGGGGGGCCAAGGCTCAATGATGCACGCAAAGGTTCTGATAGAAAGTGGGGCTGCAGAAGTTATGACTGATCTGTGCATGTATCTGTGCATGTTGTGTTTGACCTATTTTCACTGTGCAGGTTTCTACTTGGATATGATTTGCCAGCTCCAAAGTTTATTTGGAGCTGGCAGTTCATGTCGTAACCCTGTGTTCCTGTGATCTGTGAACCAAAACACTTGTGTGGGTGGAAATGTTTTTGCCAGTTAGCCTGGCAGATATGATGTGTCATTTGAACCCTGCTGGCAACCAGCTAGCAGCAGAACTAAAACTGTTTCCTTAAAGGTTTGTGATTGATGGAATGTAAAATGTATTGTGTCTTTCTCCTCTTTGTCTTTGTGGTGGTCCAGATTGCCAAACACGATGGCCCAGAACCTGTCAGTGCCTCTGGCATTTGTCGCTCTGCTTCATCTTGCCAATGAAAAGGTAAGTTTTGTTTTAAAATAAGACATTTTAAACATTATGTCTGGGTGTGGCAAAAAGGAAACTGCATTGTTCTATTGGTAACAGAAAGAAATGAGAGATCCATTCACCACATAATTTCTTGGTTGGGAGCAAGAAATGGTATCAAACATAACATTAACAAGGTAACAAAGTAACTGTAATATGTGGCCACCTATTGAAGAATGTAAATTATTCCTGTCTATTTTACTGTGTAATGTGGAATATGTTTTGTTCTCAACAGAATTTGGAGCTGGTGAAGGTGGATGATATGTCAGATATCATCATCAGACAAGGCAACTGAGGAGAAATGAATGGTGGGGTGTTGTATGGAGAATCACTGCTATTCTTTTATGCTATTCTCTACTTATTCATCTCTTTACTGTGTATAAACTCTGATGTTTCTCTGTGACTCTTGTTTAGAATTTTTTATGTTTTTATTTGTTTTCCAACAGACACAGTATGTAATCAGGAACTGTTCTAAATCTGTCTTTGTTTCTTGGAAGACATAACATTTGTCTTTCCCTTTATTCTGTTCTGTTGATGCTTATCCTGTGTGTAGTAATTTAACTGCTCAACCACCGCACAAAAAATGTATATTGTCAAAAGAAATAAAAGCCTTTTTCTAAAACATGTTGTAGAGGTTAATGCCAAAACATTAGGCATTCCCCCCCATTTGTATTTCCAAGAATGAAAGACGGTATTTTTAGCACACTTGCTAATGCCTGTCAGCCAAATTGTTGCGGACATAATGGTTTTTTATTTTTAGCTGCTTGTGATTCAGAGCAGCCTGCAGCAGTGGTCTGACATGACAGCAGGTAATGAACGACATTTAGGCCTTACCGCCACCTTCTTAGATAGAGGTGAAACTGGTTGGGCAGGACTGGTGCTGCTGGCTGGGTGGAACTCAGTATGTCATGAATCTGGAGAGCTGGGAGGAGCCACTCAGCTGAGGAAGACACCAAGTTCCCAACAGTTCTATAGCCTTTGTCAGAGTTAAATTTCACTCTCATTGATTTATTAGAAAATAAATAGCATTGATAATGACTAATGATAATCCAACATTCTCACTACCCATTTTCAACACTAGAAAAAGCATTTTTATCTAATCAAATGGGATCTGTGACATGCAGCAGTGCTGCTGATGTAGAGATACGGAGGTATTGTGTTATGGAATGAGTTGTAATATTCCATGTTCAGCTGCCATCAGCAATACAACATACTAAGAAATGACTTCACTTCACTTTTCCTGTGAAGTGAAAAAACATTCAGTCCTGCCTAAGAGATTACAACATGAGTTTGGAAAACACTGCAGTCGTTTGTAGATGATTTCTGACAATGTGGCAGGAAAAAAATAACACGTCACTTGTCCATTATAAACACCAAAACAGACATCACATGGAAAAACAAGTCATACTGAGACAGCAGTGTGGAGAGTCGGATGTTGCAGAGCAACCCCACACCGACCAAGACTGAACCCAGTCTTTTATGAATTATTGCACTCAGAGTGAGCTAGTTTTGTACTGTAGGGGTGGGTTCCTATTTGCACTTCATTTATAATATTTAGATAAATAAATAATAATAAAATTGCATGTTCATGTTATCCTCCTGATTTCTGTCACATAAACCGTAACAGTAAAACAGTAAAAACCCTATCTGACCAAAAAGCTGTACATTCAAATGTACAAAATAACAACATTAATAACTATTATTTTTGTTTAGCAATTACTTTGCTCTGCTGCTGTTAATGAAGAACTATTGTTGGTGAAAGAAAAGCAGTGAGTTGGTCAAAGGAGGTTGTCCTTTAACCGTGGTGATTTTGATTCTTGGTAGTATGTCTATGCTTGCTATTGGCTCACTGTAAATTAGTATGTTGTTAGTCTGGCTTTCTTAGCACACCTTCATTAGTCAGTCCTTTTGTGTGATCATAAACACAACAGATGACATAACACCTAGCTCACACCTCAGCCAAGGAAAATATAAAATGATATTTAGTTGTGTGATAGGTTTATCTTAATGATTCAGTAATTAGAACATGGTAGAAACACCTCAGTATGACGCCATCCCGAAGTTAACAAGGGGAGAGCCACATCAAGTTGTTGTATTATACAACAATGAAGGAAACAGCCTTCAAAATAAAATCACGCAAACATGGTGTAACGTGGGTAAAGAGCAATAACAAAAAAACGCAACAAAATACATAAAGCTATTATAAGTATTAAAAAGTGAAAATAAATAATGTAAAAGTATATTTAAAAAAGTAAAACAAAATAAAAACAAAAGTCCTTGCTAAACTGCTGTTCATACTCTAGGCTACATACAAATCCGGGCCAATATCATTTGTTAAAATGTGTTTTCTCATTCTAGTTTCAAATATATGTGATATTGCAGTTAAACAAGGTTAAAGTGCGATAACGTTCAATACGAACTTGGTCCTTTAAAAGTATTTACTTTTCACTTATACTAACTAGTGGCTCTACCCTGATACATTCGTTAGAAAGAGTCGGTCTTTTATTTTTACGTTACAGTCTGGAGACTGCGGGTGTCTTACGTCTGCTTGACACTCGAAGCGAAGGAATTCAGTTTGAAGGAAAAAAAACAACCAGGAAGTTAAACAGAGGAGGAAACGTATTCGCTTTGGTGGAGCATCAAACTCGCAAGTCTTTAAAGAGGTTTTAGAAAGGTTTTAAATACCAGGGTCAACTTAAAACAAAGTCGATCCATCGGGTTTGCGGTCAAAGGGCACTTTTCCAACAAGATGGACATCGATCCGGTAGGTGATAGTGGCTGAAGCTTGTGTTTTGTTGTGTGTGAAGTCTCTCCGTCACCATGTTGACCGTCAGACCCGACGTGCAACAGGTGTATATCCGGATAAAATAACTTTCATTTGACTTTAAAATGTCTTACCAAGCCTGACAAAATGTGTTTAAAGTGAGCGAATGAACTTTTCAATGTTGAGCGGGGAAGTCCCAGAAAGAACAAAATGGCCTATTTGCACCCAGTGCCGAAACCGTGCAGTCTACTGTTTCAGATAGAGTTAAGCTAATGTTTTTTTCATTCAAGCTAAGACAGGCACTTCACATGGAAACTCTTATCCACAACCACACATTTTCAGGTTTTTATTTCAGTCACTGCCTGATAAAACCTTCGTTTTCCGCATACCGTGTATTTTAAAAGTACGACTGTGCTTCACTGGGTGTCAGTTGACCCTGACGCCTGCAGCCAAACCCCATTTAAAAAATGTATGGGTTTAATACTCACCGTACCTACAGATAGAGATAAAACCCGGCCAATATTACTCATGGCATTTCTTACAATAAAATGTTTTATTAACTCGGCATATATATTGTCCACCGTGCAACAATTTTCTGAGACAAAAAATATACTTTTAAAGCTTGAGCTTACTGCTAGTATTTAGTTACATTCAAATGTAACCGATGCTAACACGTTGTACTCACAAAACCGTGCTAGGAGAAGCAGTTGTCATTATATTGTTTATTGTTCTGAATTGAAAAGAAGCTTCTGAAAATTCAAAGGTAGTGTGAAATGGCTAACTTTGCCAAAAATGTGGCAGAACAATTTTTGACTCAAGGTACTTGAAAAAGTCTCCCAGGAAGTCCCAGGCTCTTCAAGGTATTGTTATTGTAACAGAGGATCGTCTGTTGTATTATTTCATTAATGACAACTTGCGAAATTGCCATAGATACTACAAACCTATATTCATTGTGTTTTTCCTTCTGCATTTCCTCCCTGCTGTGCTCAAATCAGCCATGTGACTAGTTTTTCAACTCCTATCTAACACAGATCTCCTCAGGCAGTCATCAGTAACGAAGGCTTGTCCACTGAGGGCCCATGGGTCTAATGACTATCTGTTGCAGGCTGTTGACATGTAACTCTTGCTTCCTCTGCTAAACGGTTAAAAAAAACTTGCCTTCCCTCTCTTTGTAGGTCCGATCAAACATTTGAACTTAAACTATACTGACTCAGCTGTGTTGAGGGGGAAGAGCAAAACCCACTGTGTTTTCCTGTTGCCTGCAGATTTTATTGGTGTCGGTTGTACGTCAGCATTTATTAGGGTGTGCTGATAACAGGAAAACCTTACTGCGTGTTAAGTGTCTGCAAGTGATCTATTCAGACCTTGTGGTGTGCACTCGCGGTTTAACGTTTTCACATTTGACTAGATTAGGACAAGAGCAGTGAGGATTTCATGTGGCTTACCAAGACAATTAAAATTCATCATTTGCATTTACACCTGTGGTCAACAAAGAAAGATTGATGATTTTCATTTTAGGGAGCACTTCCTCATGCACCACTATATCATTATGTATCAGCTCAACATTTACAAATTGCCTTGTTTGAACACATTTCTGGGTGATTCCTCTACAAGGCTTAGAACAGTTTTGAATAGGAGGCGTAATGAATGTGCATGAACGTCTTGTACTGTTTCTGTCTCCCTCTTTCTGTGAATGCTGATACTTGATAGCTATCAGCCATTCAGTGGGCCTCACCAAACTACTCGCACTGGTAAAGGAGGAAAGGGAGAAAATAGGTTTTATAGGTGAGCTAAAACACAAATTGTGATCAAAAGTCTTGCCTCGAAAGGAAAAAGAAAAGAGTGAAGGTAAGAAGATGGTGGAGAAGAATGAACAGAATAAAGAGACAAGAATGAAGGAGGGGAGATAATGGACCAAAGGAAAGGGAGGGTGGAAAGCCTTAAAAGAATGAAGAAAGGAACAGAGAGAGAAGGAAGGGGAGGGTCACAACAGAGAAGGGAGACAGCTGGTGACACAGCAAAACCTGCTCTGTTTCCTAGAGACAGTTTTGTTTACAGTCTGGTGCTGACTCGTGGGACATGGTCATTGTCATTGTAGGCGGACTTGCGCACACATCACGCTGCATATATATGTGTGTGTATAGCATTTGTGCTTTGAAATCACACCTATGACTGTGTAAGATAACAGCTTCTCTTCCTGTTGAATGCAGGCACGCTGTAGCAGGCGTTCCCAGAAATGTAAAATCAATCGTTTGACAGCCAGTTGGTTGTGCTGTCACGGTCAGCGGCCCGAGGGACTGAGAGGACTCTCAAAGCCACTGCCAGTTGTCATGCTCGTTGTCGTCTGAAAATACAAGTCTGGTTTGATTTTTCTTCCTTCAGACTCGAGTGCTTTATTGAGTGGCACTGGTGTCAGACAGCCACTGAGGTATGGAGGAAATAATTAAAAGAATATTGAAGGCCTCACGGTAAAAATGTCCGTGATACTGCTTTGGCCATCCTGAGCACACATTTATTATGAATTTATTTCAAAAGGACAGCGATTTAATATTGCACTTGCTTAAAGTAGGGAAAATGAAAACATCAGAGCCTGAAATATCCTGACTTTTAGCCTCTAATATGTTCCAGAAACACAGGGTCCTACATTTCCCACGAAACACTGGACCCTCGCAACTTCCTAAATGCCCACAGCTTTCAAACACACCTCCAGTTTGTAACAGAGCCCAGACTGAGATAAACTCATAACATTATTAGGATACATTTGAAAAGCTCCTTCAGAGCCATGGAAGTCATTATGCAAACTGTAAAATAAAGTTGTTAAAAACCACTGTAAAACCAACAGGAAACCAAAGAAAGTTGCAAAAACAAAACTGACCTGGTTTCGTCTTAGTTCTTGTTAAAAATTGAAACAGTTGTACATGTTCCTGCAGAAAGTAGTCAATCAGAGATGCCATAATATGAATACATGCAAAATCAGATCTGTTCTAGTATTTAGTATCTCAGAGAGAATTATTCAACTTTGCTTTGATTGAAAAAGTACGACTGGACAAAACTTTTTCATGTGTCGATTAAATTCAAAACTTTATTAAAGAGGAAACCGGAGCTCCTTGAATGGTATTGAATTAAAGGGAGTAGGGCAGCAACTGCCAACATATAAAGGCCAGTCACTTTGATTAATGTTGTGATTGTGACCTCGAGGCAGTATATACACAGAAGAAGGAACTGATCCAGAGATTGTCCCTTGAGGTACTTTCAAGTGGAGTTGCAACACGATGTCATTCACAGCCCTGACAAAGAGACACCAAACGTCATTCCATCTATTGGCACCTACCACAAAAAAACAACATTCTTCCCTCTGTTTTTTTGTTCTTCTTTATTCAAAGTGGCTTCCTTTTTTACACTGATAGAAACTACAAGAGTGTGTTTATTAGTGGTTGACCAATCTGGGTTTTAATGGCCAATGCCGATATTTAGAAAGCCGAGCTGCAGATGCCAATATTAATTTCAATATCAAAATAAAGAAAAACTATGTATAATTCTGTTTTATTCTACAGTAAATCGAGGCATTTGTTTACAGAGGGATGCAGGAGAGATAAAGTACAGGACAGACACACTGACGAGGCTGTCTGCAGACATGTCATAAGACATTTTTTCTTTAACGGCCTCGTGAGCACAGACATCGGCCAATGCTGATTATCTAACAGGCTGGATAATTGGCCCGATCTATCACCAATATGGATTGCAACTGATGCGTTGAGCGAACTTTGTTCCTCCACTAATTTTCTTAAATGACCCTTTTTGTGTCCGATCCCAGGAGCGGGGCGGAGTGGCCGCAGAGCCGGTGCCACAGGACAAGGTGCAGACCTTGAGGGATCAGGTAGATGGAGTGAAAAACATCATGACGGAGAATGTGGACCGGATCCTGGCCCGGGGAGAGAGACTGGATGACCTCATGGACAAATCCGAGGACCTGCAAGCAGGGGTCAGTCTTACCACAGGAGTTTGTCTTTTTAAAACTGTGTGAAAGTGGGTTGAGGTGGACCGTATTCCCATGATAAAGAGGTTGGTGACAGTCTAATAAGTCAGTAGAAGCCATCTCATATTCAAGACATTACCGAACACAAATGAACCTGACCTAGTGTGGCCCTTTTCTTGCTAAACTTTAAATTAAACGCTTTGTAGTGAGAGGTTCCAGCTGCACCTCATTAGGCGATTAAGCTCGTTAACACAACAACCTTTTGTCTGAGGTTCAGATGCCTCACTGCACAGGCTCAGGCTCTGCAGTCCTTCTTCACGGTCGCCATTTTGATTTTGTCATCGCAGGGAGAGCACAGGTGGAACTGATGACATTAACGATGGCTCTGTTCCACTGATGTGTCCTGGGAAGCCACATTAATCAGCCATCATTCACAAAGCCAGCACCGTGAAACTGGAAAAGATGATTAAGTCATTATTAATGACATGTAGAAATGCCTGCTGCTCATCATAGGGAATGAAGTGGCCATTATCTGTAAAAGTATACAACATTCAGTTCCAGTTTTACAGTCCAAAAAAGATCCTACATATAGAATTATCACAGTAACTTCATTATCTGAAGCAGCACACAGCTGACCTGTCTCACAGCAGATATTTGGACTTAGCCCTAAAAGCACAGGTGTATCTTATAACATTAATAATGGCTCAGTTCCATTTAGCTGTGCCAGTATGCCGTGCCAGTGAAACAGGATGCACAATACCACGCATGAACAAGGAGTAATTGTCAATGACACATGATTGAGGTGTTTATTCGAGGGAGAGTTAGGAGCAGACACTAACCCTCCCCAGCAACACAAACAGTAAGAAACTGTTGATTGTTTAGATATTCAAATGATAAACAATGTGTGTTACTGAATGTCAGATAGTTATGTGATGATAGCATCTTTCAAGTTATCCTGATGACATGAATTTTGAATTTAGAAAAATGTGACAATCCCAATGAAAATTGGTGCAGTCCAAGTGTTGGTGTGGATCCAGACCTCTGAATCACTGCTCACACCTCATATTACATATCAGTAATTCACACTGGGTTGGTGTTGTGCCCAATGACCTCTTTTTCCACCAGCTGAAGAAGCTGTCGAAATTTTGTAGGCAGGATTAACAGTGGGGATGCCATCTTCCTGTATAGCTGTTAGCCTAAAGCTATGGTCACACGGAAATCAGTTTGCTGGTTTGTAGTCCGTTTAGAGGTCAATATTTGCAATGGGGTTGAGGTTGCAATTTCGTCGGTCAGAGTTCCCCAACGTTGAACTTGAAGCAGAGATACGAATGTGCTTTGTCACCAGAAGCAGAGGGATTCTTTGCCCCTTCGCTCACATACAGTGGAAGGGAACAGGAGGCAAATACGCGCCAATGTTGATTTTGCATATGTGTGACCGTGCTAATGCTTAAGATGCGTTTAACCACAGCATCCCCAGTTTAATGCAAGCTGGGGATCTTTTGTTGCTGGTAATACCCATTTCCCATCTGCTATCAAAATAAAGGCAACGTCTTAAAAAAAAAAATAAATAATTATCTTCCTACGTAACTAGCTTTCTTCTTAAAAAAAGTTTCAAAATGGTATCAAACCATCTCTGTCCAAAGGGTACAAAATCACAATGGTTAAGTGTACAAATGAGAATAATTAGTCTGCTTTTGTTTTGTTCATAGCTACGTTGTCATTAGTGTATAATCATCTTAAATCTAGAATAGTTGTGTTTTCGTTACCTTAGATTGAGCTGTTATGTCTACAGAGGGAGCGGGTCCTCTTCTACGGAGTCCGCCATTGTTGTTCCGCAATGTTTCTTTAAGGGGCCGTCTCGTCTCTCTCCCTGCTCAGGCTCAGCACTTCAAGCAGACGTCTCAGAAAGTGGCTCGCTCGTACTGGTGGAAAAACGTCAAGCTGATTGTGCTCATCGTGGTGGTGGTCCTCATCATCGTCCTCATCATCATCCTGCTGGCCACCGGAGTCATCCCTACCAGTGCCCCCCTGCCTCCTATAGTCACTCCCACCACCAAGCCAAAACCCTAACACACACACACACACACACACACACACATATAATGTACATATAGACATCATTAAATCATAAACAAACACATTCCTTTTGCACAGTATACAAAGTAATATATAGACTTAAGCAAATCACTGCTGTCTGGTGGGACCTTTATTACGTCTGGGTCCATTGCTACTCGTGACTTTCTTGCTTATATTGGAATTCGAGGACTCTGTGCTTTAGGTTTTTTTTAGGATTTTTAATGACACTTAAGCTTTTGAAACCCTGTCAAAACACAATTCAGCTCAGCCATTTTTTGAATTTGTGAGAAACTAAACAAAAGTCTCTGGAAGGACTGAGGTCTTCACCTGACAGCAGCAAAACCACTGTCAACTGTTCTGAGAGGACATGTCAGCTCTCCTCGGTTTAACTGTTTCACCATCAACAATCATTATTTCATCCTGGCAAAGAGAAATCAGAATTATTGTGTGTAGGGGGAAATAATGAGTGTGGATTTCTCAAGCCACTTACTAGCCATGTTTGTCTTGAATGTGATCACTTATGTGCACCTTTTATAACGGACAGAGTGTATACTTCAATAGATGAAAAATGCAGTGTCTAAAAGAAATGATGCGACATTTGTTTTGTTGCTGATATTTGACAAATGCACCAAACAAAGCAAAAAGAAACGCATTTTAGGTCACATTATATTTAATGGATGGCTGCATTGTGTATTAGATATGTATGTTACTACTTGTGGGCTTATTCTTTTCAAAGTGTTTCTAGTTTCTTTGAAGTCAATCTAGAAAAAATAATCATTACATTGAAATTCTATTAACATTTGTCAGATAGTTTGATGTAAACAGTCTGCATTGCTTTAGTTCTTTTGAAAATATTGTTTTTCAGCTCCTAATTGGTGTTGAGGGGTTATATTTGAGGAGAGCTTTGTACTCAATAGTAGTCAACACAGCGATTGCAGTTATGTGTTTTTTCTACAGAAATGTGTGGTCCCTATAGGGGAATTGTAGCTTTGCACATTTGTGCTGTGCAGTATGAGCAGCCTTTTTAAAGCTGCAGTAGGTGACTTTTATATAAAAAAAAATAACTTTTTGACGTATTTGCTGAAACCTTTTCCACTATATCCTAATAATAGAATAATCTGTATAAATAAAAAAAACTGGTTCCTCTGGCTCCTCCTAGCACTCCTAATGACGTTTGCAAGAATCCACCAGGCCTGAACGTAAACAACCAATCAGAGCCAAGAAAGAGATTTGTTTGCCGAGTCTCAAATACCAGTGCTGGGAATGAGACTCGACAATCAACCATCTTCAAGCCACCAACCCAAAGCGTCTGTCTTCCTTTCTCTGCTCTGATTGGTTGTTTTCATTCAGGCCTGGTGGATTCTACCATTAGGAGCACTAGGAGGAGCAAGAGGAACCTGATAGTTTTAATTTATGTATTTTTGTTACAGATTATCTGTTTCATGTTCTGCTGTCAGGATATAGCAAATATGACAGTTATTTTCATAAAACGTACCAACTGCAGCTCTAACTGTTTTTCCTCTCTGTTTCAACTGTACAAATATTACAGTTCAAATGTATGGCTTTGGTTTTTGGATTTAATAAAGTAACCACTCGGGACACCTATTAAAGGTCTGTTCCCACACTTCTACTGTTAGAGGATCAGTCTCTTCCAGCCAGCCAGCTGAGAGAGATCATTTACACCCCCTCCATGGTTCCCCCTGCTGGGTCCATGTCAACCAACAGGCCCTCACAGTCACAGCTTATAACTAGAAAACTTTGTGTCTTACCTTCCACCTCTCTCTTCTGTTACCGTACCAATTTTACTTCCCATTATGAACTGTAAATAGTCATATTCTCACCTTTATGTATATTTGCAGCAGCCTTTAACCAACATGTTAATTAAAGTATCTTTTCTTTTAGAGGCTATTTATTTAATGCTTTATGTCATTCGTGTTCTTTCTTTTTCTAATCAAAAAAGACTGATTAATCAATAAATAATGCAGTTTACTTAGTCTGCTGTTAAACATTTTCTAGACGTAGGACCAAAAAAAAGCTGTGTTGGAATTAATTGTGCATTGTGTTTTTTACATGGTTCTGGACGCAGTAGTCCTAATCTCTTTGCCTGTTCACACTGACCTGATTAATGCTGTGTGAGACCATGATCACTACTGCAGGTCTGTCATTGTGTTAACGGCTTCTTCCAGTGTCTCTAACTCTTGTCATTTTGAATTCACATTCTCAAAACAGATGAAATAATTCTCAAGATTCCTATTCTGATGACTTATGGTATTTAATTGTTTTAATGGTCTGATAATGAAATAAATAGTATTTACCTCTGCTCTGTTGTGATGGTTCCCCTCCTTTGCTGAGTAGCCACAAGATGGAGACAGTGTCTGGCTAATCTGAGACTTGTGGAAGTAGGTCAGAGGCAATGCTTTGCACAGTTCTAGGCTCTTAGTGAAAGTATGAAGACCAGCATTTTCTGATCAGTTTAGTACAGCTAAGCAATAGCAAAAACAGAATTTGACAACATCTGATAACTGCTTGCTTCTAAGAAATCAGTCTAAAACTTTGCTTTAAAATAATATACTAAATATTATTAATAAAGTTATTTGTTTAAGAAAGCAGCCTACTGAGTAGCTTTGCATTGCCATATCACTGCAAAGCTGGTCTATTTTCATACCAGCTTAAAAATTCACTGTATCGACTGCCATACCAGTAATCAGCCTCACAACAAACCCACATCAGTTGGACTCTAGTTAGGGCGATTCCATATTAACTGTTGTGATTGTAAACTTAATGGAAATACAGTGAATAATAATCAGAGCAAGAAGTCCAACAACTGCAGTCTGGGAATTTCAATTTGATTTACTTAATTTCACCAGGATAGTTAAATGAGCGTCAGTAATGGTCAGTATATCAATACTACGAACAATAAATCAATAAAACAATGTGAGAAGTGAAAATGACAACAGGCCAGCTCACACTACAGAAAGGATATCTTCAAAGAAACGAGTCTACAGCCATGCACATTTCACACCCCATTCTCATTCCCAGGTTGTTAGATACTCGAGTGGTGTTCAGTTAGTTGCAGTCTGGAACATCACCACTAGATGCCACAGAATCCCACTCACTGGTCCTTTAAGCTAAATGCTAAAGTCAGCACGCTCACAATGACAATGTTAACATGCTGATGTTTAGCAGGTGTGATGTTAGCATGATAGCATGCTAACAGTTGCAAGTAGAGCTGAGGCTGATGGGTATGGCGTTATTTGACACTACAAACACACACTGACCTCCTCAAGCTTTTATTTTGGTACTTCCGGTTACCGGCATTTTGAATTTGCATATTAGTT